CTACAGTATCCTAACTGCCTATGGGAACACAACAGAGACACAAACATTTTCCTAGTTCAAAAAACAACGCATATAATGCTGTCTATATGTACCAAGCTCATATGTACGAATCAGTTCGTTCTCGAGAAAAATAATCGAAATTGGATCAAATGCATGAAACTACTGAGAAGCTGAGAGTAATGCTTCGCAAATGGCTGAATTGAGCGATGAGCACTCAATGAGGTAAGCGCTCCAACGAGAGATCCTAAGCACCGACAACAGCGCAGTCTACAGTTCAAACGTCCGCAGTGCCGACGTCGACGTGACATGCACCTTTCCTACTTCACTGTCGGATACTGAAATTTAGTAATCAGCAAGCATAATAAATGATATGGAAATCATTTGTCGGACAACATTCTGACTTTGGGTAATGCAAGCGTTGAAAACGGTCAACCCTCCTGTATGCCACGTTCAATAGGGAAGAGGTCTATTCAAGAAGGGAAGAAGTCTATTCAAGATTTTTGGAGGGAGGTTGCATCCGACGTTTCCCGAGGAAGTCGTATTTCTTTGATTTTTGTGTATTTCTGATTATGAAGGAAAGGCGCCACTGAAAATTTCAGAGTGGGTGAGGGGAGGGGGTGGGAATGGGTGCTGCTGGAAAGACCTGAGTGGTCGCTTTTTGTGGTGGAGCGGAAGAGAGGGTTGCTTCTATGGGATTTCCAAAAAAATTTCATGAAAAATGCATGGAACTGGCAACAACAGAGTTGAGAGTTCAAATGCTATGAAAACATAGTAAACGTGAAGGTTCTTAGCAATTAACTTTGTAGAAATCTCAGCAAACTAAAATAAACAGAAAAATATTAAAGCAACACCCCCAGAACAAGCAGCGGTTGATGTGGAGTTATGGTGGATGCCAAACTGACTAAAAAGGAAAACGAAAAGAAGAAAACCGTCAACGAAGTTCTAAACAAGGAGTCCCTTATGAGAAAAAGGAAGGGGTGGGGCCGGACGAGTTGTACGAACTTGCTTGCTCCACGGCTCAACTACCCGCGCGTATTTGAATTAGCCGCTACGCCGTAATCCACGTTGCGTGTCATGGGGTGTGCGCGACGTAACTCGTCCAAATGTTAAGATTAGTCGCCATAAGTTCACTTTGTAAGACCCTAGGCCGCGCACTTTCGAGCAAAACGCTACATCTGTGATACTCGTGGGCTACTCTATCCCAATCACTAAACAGATTCTTCGACATGACTTCTGCTGGTGGTGTTGCTTTAAGTTCTATGCATTGGTGAGATAGGGGAAGGTTGCAGACGTAGACAAAAAAGGGAAGAGGAATAAGCTCCTTCCGTTGGAGCTATTCTTGTACTGAGGTAATAGAGGGGATAGCTGGAGGCGCCTTATCCAGTGCGGTGAAGAGTAGGTTGGAAGGCCCCGTGAGAGCGCCACTCTCCTACGAGGTAGACTGACCACACCACATACTGCGCTAGAAAGAGCCGTCTACCAATGAATGAACTGGTTTCTAACCGTAAACCGTAGAGTTATCATATGCACTAACTATTACAATGTTGAACAAACAAGAACCGATCTACGCAAAAATAGTGTATTTCAAAAATTGCTGGGAGTATTCTGTTCACGATCAGCGAGAAAGGGAAAGAACACTCAGAATGGAAAGATTACTGTTTTGGAACCCTATGCAGTTATTTCTCAACTTCAGCGGACTCACCTATGATATGTTTTTTCCTGAGAGTCTTCCCTTGGTTCCGCCTCGGACGCGCGTTTACCATCTCAGCCGCTGCTTCCTGAAGGAAAAGGTACGCAACATTTGATTTGTAGGAAAGAACGTGAACCACCCCACGATCACACTATTCAACTCAGATACTCAAAACTTACGAGCATTTCTTGATCGCTGCTAAAAGCAGCATCTTCGCCTTCTGGTTCTGTGTCACTTCCGTCTTCAGATTCCATTCCACTTTCCACCTCCTCTGCTTCCCCATCCAGCATTCCTTCATCTCTGCTGTGCTCGATGTCTTCACCATCTGATTCTGTCCCAATACTTTCTTCAGATTCCTCATCGGTATCAACTTCTTCCGCCTCTCCATCTATCAGTGGATTCTTAATGATAGAAGATAAATAGTGCACTTTTTAATAGGTTGGTGAAAAAAATGCGTTCTCGATAAACCTCACTCAAGGGATGAAAATACATGCAGCTTGCCTAATTATAACTTAATAAAAATGGTGGACAGGGCAGCTATTGACATTACAAAGTCTGCGAAAAGAGGTACACGCTGAAAGTATATAAGCCTATTCGTTGACCGCTTGTGTTCAGATCCAATAACACTTCTGCACTTCTAAGTTGGGGTGGAGTTGAACTTATACAATCTTCCGCCCGAGATATAAATGAACGAGGTGGGAGCAATGCCGCAAAAAAAAAACAGATCGAGGATGGATCGAGGGCGAAAAATAACCAGGAATGTAACGTGAAAGGTGGGATGCGAGTGGCTGCGGTTTCCACCGAAAATTGATCAATACCACTAACAACCTTCTTGAGGACCTTTCTCTAAAAACTAAGAAGAAACTATAAAGAATACTAGTTAGCTTCTGCAGTCATAGAAATTATAGGCAGTCGAAGATGGAGATGGGAGCAGATTTAGGACTGACGCCGTCGTGAAATATGATGAAGAATGGAAACGGCAAGGTGAGAAAAGGAGAGAAGACAATGAAAGTGGTGAGTATAGACGCAAAGCTAACGAACAGACTAGAAAGAGTTCCGCACTTTAGGCTCCTGGCTTTTCATCGATGAGCTTACACAACACCTTGCACAGCTACGCAGATCAAAAATACCTCATAAAATCTACGAAGAGTCACAATTCTGTGAAGATAATGGCGAATCGTTGAAATCTTCACTTCTCTTCAGGGGTATCATCATCTGGAAACAAAACGCAAAACCACGCACTTGCTGTTCTTCTTCTTCGTCTTCGTAGTCCGTAATGTATTCCACATCACTTCCATCGTCATCATCCAAGCTGTGCCTTTCTCCTTCTTCGGATGAGACGGAAAGCACACGAGATTGCTGAAAAATGAGTGCAGAATTGCTTGAAAAAAATGTTAAGAAAAGAAAATTAATTTTTGAAAAAGCAGAAGCGAATAGTTCAAGAACTAGTTATCTTGAGGACAACTAAAAATTCTCCGTATGCAATGATGTTTGCTTAACTTTGCTGGGGTAACGAGGCTGCTTCCCTGAATCGGCCCATCCCCCCCACTTTTCATCCATGAGCAAACACGTATAAATTGCTAGTTACAGTGCAACGTACAGAAGAATTTTGTTAAAACTTTCGCAGTCTCGGCAACCCGCATAGATAATTTCGAACCTTCGCATTAGTTGTGTGCTTCACCAAGTAAAAACGAAGAGGTACCGGGAGTTAACGCATTTGTGCGCAGTTCATATTATGAACTTCCATTTAGAAAGCACAGTGAGCCTCTAGAGTGCTATCAGATCATCTGTGAGGATAAAAACCTAATTGAAGGTAGTTCCTTTTCCCCACTCATCCCTCCCTCCTCTCCTATACGAAGTTGTTGTAGAGCTCCATCATTCATTCATTCAAATGTCACCACAATTCTGAAGGGCAGTCGGATGTATGGCACATACCAAAAATACTGCAGAGGTACTTGATCGCAGGCCTTCGCGGAACTTGGTTCTACAAAATGATTGAGAAGCTAAGCGAAATCTACTAGATCTTCTTCAAACCTTTTTCACATATCTTTCATGTCGCCGATCCGTTTCGCTCTCCAATTGTTGATCGAGAAGATCTAACTCATCGTCCTCTTCCCCTGAGTCTACATCATCGCTCTCAACAACAAAGGAGTCGTTCGAACAACTATCGCTGTCCTCCGCATCATGCTCCCTGCTCTCCATTTCGTCCTGTAAAAAACCTCAGTACGTTTCGTTGTCACGCCACCCACATACTGACATGTTCCCGAGCAATTTCTATCGCTTTCTACAGTTTGAACGAAGGAACACCCTGATTTAAAATACCCATCAAGGTTTAAAACTCATACCTCACTCTCCGCAACACCATACGATCCCAGCTCGATAGTGGAATCCTGCAATTCGAAATGATCACGCAATTTTGTACTATTTTATGATAAAACCGGTACTAATCATCTATTACAATCCCAAGATTTCAAAATTTTATTTTTCGGCAAAATTTTGCCGTCACTTTGTTGCGACAGCTGTTACCGCCAAATTTCGAGCCCGGGGGGGGGGGGGAACCACGAACAGTGTGGCAAAAGTTGAAGTATGTGAGATTACGGGACACAGTGCCTTAGTGGCTTCGACACCCCTTCTCCCCAAAGGCTTGGCCCTAATCGCATCCATCACTGCTAGGGCGCACGCCGAAACCATTTTTCGAAGCAGTGGCAAGTTGCTTCATAATTTGGTTAACAATTGCAGCGCAGCGGCCCAAAAGCATAAGCTTCAACTGAAATGAAAGGGAATAAAATTGATGAATGTTGGTCAAAATACCTCAGGATAAGAAGGTTTGACGATGTATTCGTCGCAATCAGAAACATGCGGAAGACTGTTTACTCCGAAGTCACACGTATCTCGCATACCGCATTCAGCTGCTACTCGAGCTATAGCTAATCTCCAGCTGTGTTTCCACAAATCTGACATAAAACCCTCGCGATAATTTTGTGACAATTTGAAAAAATGGTAGCACCTCCATATTCCTTAACGAGAATCAGCATCATTTCCACGCTGAGCTGGAGAGAAACGAGACGAGGGCAGGATGAAGCAACGTGACGAATGAGATCAATGAGACGATCTCGCTGCTCTGACAAAGGCATGGCTATTATGCTTAGCGTCGAACATCTGAGAGATGGTCAGCAACGTGATTCAGCAGCTGTTCAGCGCATCGAATTCCCCACACCTATAAAGAAGAACACGTTGTAAATAACACTGATGAAAATATTTCAACTATTGACGATGTTTGCAGTGGGATTTGCCATTATTCCAACACCTAACATCAAAGAACTGTAGAAAGAAAGAGAAAGGATGTTCGCAATGAGTCGCAGAACATGGGGATAAGGACAGGTGGCGGGTCCCAAAAATTAGCAAGTCGCACTAGCTTTACATATTCCAGTTGCGTTTTTAGGAGATACTTAGCTAAACTATCTAGCGGAGGCTGATTCAGGGAGAAATTAATTTTTTTTCTTGGAGCAGGTAATTCCACTAGAAAATGAAAAAGTTGAGTCCCGAAGTTGCTGCAGGAGAAGGGAGAGGAAAAAGACGAATTGCAAAATACCTCTCAATGCCCTCTCTTCCTTCGTGAATACGGTACTACCTCCAAAAAAGACAAAAAAGATTGGATGGTGAAGTATGGCTCAAGCGGGCAGAGACGGGAGTCGACGGACTACTTGAACTCAGCCCTTTAAACCTCCTCTGCGCTCTCTCGCGGGTCCCTCCATCCTATCCAGTGCTTAGTCCTAGGTCCTCTAAGCGTCTGTGCTCTAGCCATCGCGGCAGGACCATTGAGGAAAAATCAAGTAGTCCGTAAACGAGACACAAATTCTGAGAGATCGCTGTCGGCGAGGAGATCAAATGGGGAGTGGAGAACGTGGGCGCGACAACTACTCCCTCCGCCTTCCCCTCTACTCCCATCCTCCCACCTCATTTCGCCTCAAAAATCGACCTCATCGCGGAGGAGAGCGGAATCCATTTACAGGAAGCCCTCCACACTTCATCCCTTTCGCTACTTCTAGACTGATAACTGTATTCTAATCATGGAAGGAATTGATTTCATAGCGGAGTTCGCAAATGAAAACATGTCTAAAAAGCGCACTCGGAGAAATATAATAGCTCCGAGATACATGCTATAATATAGCCCGTGTAGCAGCCAGTCGAGCGACATTGTGCTTCACCTTCTGATACTCATTAGCGAGTCTGTTACCTAGACGCTTGTGGCGATCACTTTTACTCTCACCTACCTACACTTCAGGGTAGGAAGAGGAAGAGGGAGCACACCATACTACAAAGACATCCCCGGTGCGCTGCTAATACAGTTGCAATAAAGCAACCGCAATAGCAGCCCGGCGCCATTGCAAGATATAGAGGCATTGCGGTGGCAATGCATTCGAACCCTCATAAAACATCACCATTGCTAAGATTGGGGCCACGCTTAGGCGGGGGAGGGGAAACTCCCGGATGCGTGAACGATTTTCATTTCCCGACGTTCCTGTCCCTTCACAGGTTTAGTCATATATGATGCCCCGTATATAGAGATAGCGCCAGCAGTCTCTATTCACGGAACACGCTAGCACTATTCTCTTCAAAAACCAGAGCAATTGCGGAACCTTTTCTAATGTCTAGCCACAAAACGAATCTTAAAAAAGAACACAATACTCTAGGACACACTTCATAAGTGCTACATGCGCACCCTACTCACAAATGTAAATAAGGAGTTATCTATACCTGCAGATGAAGTTCCTCGAGGTCTGGATAAGCGTTAACATTCGCCAGCCGCTTCACGAGGTCCATTAATGAAGACAAAGATCGTCGAGCTCCAATAACAGGAAGGGATACCGATACTGAGACACATGTAAGCGATGGTGGCAAATGGCAATCGAGGTCGTTGAACTGAAACCATCATGTTTGCTAATGAGCCTCATTTGTAGAGAGCTCCTGCGATGGTTAAACTTACCACACAGAAAGCCGTCGATATGCAAAGAAAAATGAGTGAGGTTTTTCAATTTAGAGCACGAGTTCTTCTGCCGACCCTCCAACACCCATGAAGTCGGCATTGACGCAGAAAATGAGCAATGGACGAATAAGTCGAGACTCTTTATTGAGGTCATCGCCTAAATATCATTTAAATAAGTAGTGAAGCAATTGCGAACTGTAATTGTACAAAGTCAGCACAAATTTGCGCGGTAGGCGGAAACAAGCCGCCGCAATAGCGTCAAGCAAAGGAGGCAGTCATAAAGTTCATGACTAGAAGACTTAAAGGCACGTGTCGCTATCAAATTCTTATGTTAGAGAAATTCTCTTGTTGAGTAGGACCTCCTATACCACTCAAAAGTGTGCGACAAAGGATCTGATGTCTTCGCTTGACTGCTGCAACCGCTGTCACCTTTTTTTTTGATCGCGGCATAAGTGGCACTTGGTCCTCTTGCGTACGACGTGTTTTTTTTTCGCGTTTTCTCGCTCCTCGTAACGCCGTCTCCGCTGTACTATTGCCGCTCCCCCAAGGGAGCTCAGTGCTTTTCTATGGTACTTTTTGGTTTTCCTCACAACCAACGTTTCCCATCGCATTAACTTTTCCAAAAAAAAACACACCAATTTAATCCAGACCCGTACCTTTGATAAAAAACGAACGGACCGCCACCTATCAGCGGGGAAATTTTCAAGAAACGAGGATTCCGAGGGATTCAAAATTCACTTCAACCATAAACGCCAGCGATCGGGTGCCGCAAGATGCTCTATTCCCCACCTTCCTGCACTGTTCTTCTTGGCCCTCAACATCCTTATTGATAAAAAAGATTAAAGCGAGAGATTACGATAGGGCTGTGTTGTGTTTGTAGTGAAAGTGAAAGTGGAGATGCTGAGTACGCCCTAGTAGCGAAAAAAGCAAAGAAATCCGTCGAAAAACGCGCAAAATGGGACCACTTCCTCTGCCCGTTGACCTCCGATAATGGACGAGTTGGCAACCAACTAAGAGGTCGTCGGCACTCGTTAAACCATAGCTGCCATCATACCACCAGAGATCATACCTTTGATTGATATAGCATTCCATGAGAAAAAAATTGGATACGCGCTCGAAGTGGCATACCTTATCAAAATGATAATCGAACAGTGATCTGCTGAGGGGCGGAGCACAGGCGGAGGCGGAGCTCAGAAAGGATTGGCAGCCCCAGGGCGCTGCAACGAGCGCACCTTTAGTCACAAAAAGGCCATATCTCGATGTCTTGGCTCTGGCTTCGACTGAAGTGCGTCGTTCTTGCAGCTGCACAGAACTTTATCGAACTCTCGCTTTTAACAATGACCATCTAATCACCATTCTCGGACTTCTGTTATAGATATCCAAAACCCCATCCAGGCATATGGGCGTTTTCAGAGAGCACTTTACCTGAAGCGCGTAGAGTCATGCCTGACATCCAAAGCTATTGTTCGCAGAAATTCAGCTCGTCGGTGTACCATTCGAAGTACAGAGAAGTGAAGGTCGCAAGGTATCTAGTCAGAATACTAATCCCCAGGAAAACGTCATCCATTAATACGAACGATATCCAAAATATTCAGACTGAAGTGATACGACAGCTTTGTTGAAAGCGAATTATCAGCGAAAAGAAGTCACTATGAATTCAAGTCCCCTGAAGTGATCCCTACAAATTTTCCAACAAGTGTTCCTCTAAAACACGCGAAACAGAGAATCAATAGCCACGCGTTTCCCAAGCACACATTGCCGTTAGAAGGCTAAACAAGAAAAATGGAGAGGATATTATCTCTGACAAAACCTTGTCCATTCGTGAAGAATGCACGACCCCCTGAGAGCCACAGAGTTCGTGATTTGAAACCAGTACTTAGAGGCGCGGAATTTACGCCGAGAAGGCAACCTATTTCAAATTAAATTAAGGATCGTCAGTGATACAAGAAAAAGGAAAAATCATGAGAAACGGCCCAGAACTCGAAACCCCTTCGTGTTGTACTTAATCTAACTTATCTGTTGTAGAATTCACACTGATGCGCTCTCATAAATCCACATCTCAATAGCTACACTCTCTCTGCTAAGTCATGCGTCCGGTTATGCCGCAGCCAACTGCCCAAGAGTGACCATACAAACTGCCAGGTAAAAATCTTTCGGCCAAGCGTCGGTTCGATCCTCAGTTAATGTCGCTGTTTCCCAAATAGGCAATTTCTAACTTTCCCACTTCTTTGACCTTCGTTCTTATGATGGATTCCTTCTTTGAAATGACACTCCACAAGAACTACAAATGTTATTGCGGATTTTGAGGCAAAACTCACATCATTGATTCCCATCATTAATTGAGGTAGATAGTAATCCAGAGACACAACAGGCATCGCATGCAGATACATCTGTAACCATTAAATGATGGCAAGATGCGCCAATGGCTTAAACGGTGGATATTCTGCTTACCTTGAGATGAGAAATCTCGAGTTTATAACATTCATATTTCGGCTGGTTGAATTTGAAAAGGGCCTGGAAAATTGTAATTAACTAAATTTGCATAAAATATGAGTCATGAAATGAAGTAGTTACAGCCATAAATTAATTAAAAAATTGGATAATTAGGCATTTTCTCTATTACATAACACACCGTATTTCCTTATCCGATTTCGTTCGTTCTCTTCATGCCCCTCCTCAGCCTCAATCTTCCTTTTTTTTCAAATTCCTCACAATCCCTCTCCTCACCCTTCTCACCATAAAAAGGCTTGTAACGATCTTACTCCCACCATTAAATGCAGCCATGGAGAGGCTCCCTCAAACGACCCAAACGACACCCACACTGTCTTACCGTCACCCTCATCACCACGATGTTTGTTTTTGTGGCACTTGATTTCGATGGATAGATGATGACACATACACGACTAGGCCCGGAATATTCCCCAAACTGCAGCCCCGCAGTTGGTTGGGGTTGAAAGATGTTTATAGTATTATTGCTGAAATAACAACTGCTCTAATCTCACCCATTTCATTCACTTTTCGTTCAAATGGTGAAAACCCTTAAGACGACCCCCTCTCCTTCTCCACAGAGCCACGACCCCGCAACTTTCGTCACCACTACCCCCTTTGAAAATCTCAAATACCCCACACTAACAATCAAAAATACCGGAAATCAGAAATAAATACCAGCTCCTTTGAACTTTCTACAACGGACGATGGATCATGTGCTTCTCTCCACTTCCCCCCCCCCCTCTTTCTACAATGAACGGTTGACCCTTCTGTTTTCGCCTTTATTTCACATTTCGCAGCTGATTCCTTTTCTTTGCCGTTTGAGGAACGCCAGCGACTGAGGGATGCCCGCTCAGCGGACCCGTCAAATCGAAAAAGCATTGTGCTAAACTGATATGTACTTATAACATGTTGGACCTGCATTATTGAATCCAGAGAGCACAGACGAGTTAGTGCCTGGTTTAGCTGGCCGAACTGCACTGTGTCGAATGAGATATTGTTCTTTGCCATCAGAGCAAAAAGCTGAAGGCATACAAATAAAAAACAAATGATAAAATACTTCTAATCACCAGAGCAGATTCTACAATTACCTTCTCTGGAGCGTTCCAAAAGGCTATACGGCGAACATTCGGTATAGCAGAAATTACGTAGTCAGGCTCATTTCCACCGCCCCAATCCTCTCGTTTTGCAGCGAGGACGGGGGTGTTCCAAAACGCTTGATAGGATCTTAGTAGTACGTCCAAGTCGAATCTCGTGCTTAATGAAATCGTATTATGTTATGTTTGGAGGATTTATCGCCTTCAGAACTCCTTGACAAGGATGTGTTGATTGCATTGTGAGTTTCTTATTTTAAGCATTTTTTGAAAGCACGCCCGATGCTGAGGAGGCCCGTCGCTTGTCTCGCGATAAAGGCAGGCATCCGCATCCACCGCAAAATGATGTCGTTTTCCTGCGCCTTCGAATCGCGAGCCAACCGGAAGGAAACCAAAGCCCGGTTTGGCCGCATACCCAACCCGCGCTGCCCACCATTGAATGCGATCTTGCCAGCGTCGAGTCTTCATCCTGTGTTCTCTATCTCCGAGCAACTCCGTTTCCCGCCTCGGTGCACTGTGTCTGTTAATTCTCTCGCGTCTAAGAGTTATTACAATCGTCGACCACTATAGAAAAAAGCTCGAGAAAATGCTTGAACGGATGAATCCGCGGGTTTCCTTTTTTCTATTCATTACCGTTCAGTTTGCACGGCTCCTCCCACCTGTAACTTTACCTTTATTCCCTATCCGAGTTATTGTAAAAACACGGTCGTGGTGTGTGACTTAAACGAGGATACCAAGATAAGGTCGAAAGTGAAAGAATTTGGTAACCTACTTAGTGGGAAGACTGGCGCACCCCCTAAGAGTACGAGCCTACAAGCAAATTGCAGCAAAGCAAATATGCCCAGCGAATATCGGCAAGGAGTACCTCGGAGGCGTCTGCTATCCACCTGGATAGGGCATCACGATTTAGCATGACCCTTTTCCGCAAGAGCCTATCGAACACTGTACGCCCACCGGACTGGGCTAAACCACTCGCCTTCAGATTCTGCCGTTCACTCAGAGAACCTTGTTTGAATTTGGCTAACACCGGTGAAAGAGTCGGCGGCAAAGACGGGACAATAGCAGGTCAGTGACGGGATCCCCCAGTTCTCCAAGTTTTGGGTTCACTCTCCTTCTACCGGCCACGCCCTTACCACTTCTAACCTTTGGTCTGATGCGGAAATATGCATATGATAACAGCAGCATAGTCAGGGATCGAATTGATATGCTGTTTTGTTCGAAATTCAGTGCCAAAGAGTCCAAATTGACGGATACGTTCGGGGAAAAGTAAAAAGCGCCATCCCGAAAAGCTCTGTGTATTTTTATTGGTCAACAGCAGAAGTTAAGGTATGGCACAGTTCTGTAATTTTCTAAATGAGGTCACCGTGGTATGAGGGAGAAGCACAGCGCTGCGAAGAGAACGAAAACGCGAAAGCACGTTTTCCACGGAAGGGCACAAACGCCATGTATGCCGCGATTGGTAAGGATGGCAGCAGGACAGCACACAAGGCAAGGCCTCAAGCTGTTGCCTAGGTCCACTGTTTGGCCCGCATAGATAAGGAAGAGGGTCTTCCAGCACTTCTGCGCTTGAGAAGACCCCTTTCTCAGTCTAGAAGGGACTGTCTCTTGTCACCCATCGCGATCCGTGGCTTTGAAGTTAGAGATCAAAAATCGCAAAAACTTTTTTTTAAACCTGTAATATTTATTTATTTATTTATTTATTTATTTATTTCTACGCCTTCGGTGTCATGTCCATCTGAAACCTAACGAGTAACTCTGGATGCTTCACAGAACAAAATAAATAACCTTACGAATCATCCGGACTTTAAGTCCTGTCGTAAAGATATTCCTAGCTCGGTCACTCACTCGAACGTCAATATTAAAATCATTGAGATGAAGAAGAAGCCTTGCAAACAGACAGTACAGTCCACATTCAGTGTATTTCCATCTCTAAAAGATACACATAAAACAATTGCTCTAAATACTTCATACTAGTATCTTCTTGGCTTTTCTCATTCGGGTGTCGTGTGATACAAAGATTTTCATTTCCAGATGAAACTTAAGAGCTTCATCGCAAATTGGAGTGTTTGGACCGTGCTGTGCCAGCACAAGTCTGCAGAACTTCACATCCTTCAGAGAGAAAAATACACTCAACGTATCCATTTCAGAATTATCAATCCTTCGGAAAATAAACTATTGCTGAAAAGTTTATAAACGCTGCCGAGCACTATCCCATCTCCCTACAACCACGAGAAAAAAGAAAGAAATTTTTCACTGTGCAAAAAAACGAAACTGTATCTCAATTGACCTCACTAGAGAAAACCTTACTTGCCAACGTCGAACCATGCCGCCTTGTGCCCATCCTCAAGTCTGCCCTATAGACACGGGAAAAGATCGCTTAATCAGCGGTCGTCCATGTAACTGAAAGCACCACTCATCTCGATATTAAATAGTAATCAGGAAATACCAGGAATGAAATCATAGAATACAAATACAGGGGTGGCCAAAAAAAAGAGACACATTGCCCATGGCGCACATCATCGAACTTTTCGTCGCACAGGGTGCCGATGTTAATGAAAGTTTTTACGGCGAAATATTCTTAAGGTGTTCCCCCCGTAAACAGAAGCAGGCCCTCCCTTCACTGTCCCCTCCGTCTTTAGAATATGACGTCATCTGCCGGCACCGTCGAGCTCAACGAGGCTTACCGTAATCGCTCCGGCCTGAAGCTGCTTCATAATTTCTTCAATAGATTAACTGCTGAATAGCTTCCTAGAGACATTAGCTGTGACTATGCAAAACCGCTTTTGACCAGCATTTCACGGACGTCGTAATGGTCTATGGTACCTCGTCGACCCCGTTGAGCTCATACTGTGAACCATGTTTCCGTGTGAAAATCTTCTGATGTCGTCGGTGTAGAAGGCTATCATGTAAGGTTTAGATAGATTAGAAGGTGCTCTCCAATACTGAGTTGGGGGCAGTCGATTTGATTTTAGCAAAGTGTGATTAATGCTGTCTGAAATGTGGAGTCAAGTGTCTCTTTTTTGGCCACCCCTGTATATCATTTGACATATAATGTTTTCCAATCTTACAATGGGCGAACCTGATATTGAAAACCAGACCATTTGACATTCAAGATTCCTTATTAATGCAGAATGTGTAGCTAACCGTAAGAATTGGAGATAAGATGATTCGATGGGTACGTGGTCACACCGCCTCTGAACGCCCTTCCACCAATGATTTTGGTAGCGAATCTTAATCGGGTTCTGGGAGGACCTCCTATCATCCTAACTTGCAAATGACATTCAATGGACGCTCCGGAAGACAAATCATTCACAGAAAAGACGAAAGCGTACCTCTAACTCTCCTAGATTCAACGATGTAATAACGTCTCTTCGAAAGGCCACCACATCAACAAACGTCTCTGGTTTTAAAAATGCAGGAGAATATACATATTTGGAAGTTCTGTAAAAGTAATCAGGTTCAACATGCAAAGTTTCGAAAAAGGTTTCTTTGAGCACTACAATCGAAAGACGTAATTGGAACTTAAAATTTGATTTACTCAATCTCTCTTTCGTACCCGCTCCCCTATCTTCAAGATCACTGTTGCTTCATTGTCGCTTTCAACGCAGCTCAAGTCTCTGCAGTTTGTCCACGGAAGGCAGTCTATTTGAAAATTAATTTTTGTCCTGCCTTGGATGCTGTAGACCCTAATCGCCTAGACAGGTAATCAGTGCGAAGGTATTGGGTACACTGATATACTCCAACGATGCAAAATAGGTGCTCAGTGGAACTACATTTCATTTGATTTTGAAGAAAAATTGTCAGGACTATCCATCCGTAAATGTCGTAGATGAGAAAAAATAACACTAACCTGGGAAAATCACGCAGAAATAAGTCACGAATTTTCTCCTGCAAGACAACAGGACATCTCGGAAGCTGCTCTTCGGAATACAAGCAGAGCCAACCAAGCGCATTCGGCGTGAAACCATCTGAACACAGAACAAAGAAAAGTACGACCACTTCGGTTGCCTAACAGTTCTTCGAGATTGTATTCAATTTTTCATCATAAACACATCGTCATAGATTTGCACACTCATATCAGTGCGTTATATAAACCGATACACTGTTTTCTTACACTTTGTCACTCTATGTCCCCCTTCTTACACTAATACCGACTAACTCTCCTTGTTAAAACCCTATATTTTCTACCTACCAGTTATTTGAACGCAAGCCCCGGGATTGGGCTCACCATTAGTAACTACGCCACAAGTGAAGGTGTTGAATGAGTTCCTGTAGAGCTCGTCCAGCTAATGACGCTAATTGTTACGAACTTCCTACCATCGACCCCATTGCAACCTTACACACTCACCGCAATTGTGGAGACAAGCGTACTCTTTCGTACAGCGTGTTTTGCCTATCATGGGTGGTCTCCCTCACCTATCCGACCTTATTGTGAATTCATACTCTGAAAGGGGGATATCCACGATAAGGAAAAAGGTAGGAATATTGCTTAGTGGAGAGACAGGTGAACCTCCTAAGGGCGTGGACCGACACGCAATCGAAAGGATATGCCCCCGCAATCCAGCATGGCCTTTTTTCGTGCATTACTCACTATCTCTAACTTGGAGCAACAACACCAGATCGAATAGGTGAGGTAACAGCGATTGATAGTAATGGCATGGGAAGGACGCGTCTGTGCAAGTTTTTGAAGGCAACAGCCAAGCGATGAGGCTACCATATCTATCAACCTATTGGCTATCTTCGCCGTTACGTCGTAAGCCACGTTGCGTGAGGGCGAGTGCAACATAACGAAGTAAGCAAACCAGCCCTTTTGGCGTTTCTGCTGGGGCCGTATGCTGAATGTTGGGGAGGGGATGGGTCCCCGACGGTGGACTACTTCAACTCGGTCCTTAAAACCGCCTCAATTTGGTGCTTACCTCAGGACTAAGCCTTAAAGAGAGGACGGCGTCCGCAGGTCCGTCCTCTCTCCAAGGCTTAGTCCTGGGGTGAGCAAACCAGCCCTTCTGGCGGAGCTGCTGGACCAGCTGCACCACTTGCGTCAGTACTCTCCTACCGTACCGACCGAGTTGAAGAAGTCCAGAAAGGCAAAAAGGGTTGCTTACCTCCAACGTGACTCGAACGCTTAGAGTAGTCGCCAGACGCTGAC